GGTCGTTGCGACAAGAATTTTCCGTCGAAAATGCGTTCGGACAAGTATTGAATCGGTTCAACTTAGTTTGAATCTTCTCGGCAACAATTGCAATGACTTTAAAACAGCTAATTAAGCGAATTTATCAATTGATTTAATAAAAATAAAAAAAATCGTGATTTTTTTGATTAATTTAAATAAATCAGTGATTTTTGATTTTTTTAATAAAAAATAATTTTTGCCTAACACTGATTTGGAAGATGCAAAGTTTTAAAGAGAAAGCGTATTTCAGTAGAAATATTCATTTTTAGACTGCGAGGAGCGTACAGTAATTAAGTGTCTTCTAAAAACTAAAAATTTTGAAAAAGTCAAGTCGATCCTTGCATTAGTTTGGAAGACGCAAAATTTTAAAACGCGAGAGCGCATTTCTATAGAAACAACAAAAACGTCTCAAAACCGAAATTTCCTATGCTGAAAGAAACTAAAATTTCGCTCGACTTTTACAAAACTATGCGCACGGTTAGAAGAAAGTGTCTTCTACCGATGGTGAAAAAATCAAGGTTCTATTGGCTTGACAATCATAAGTCAAGTCGCTTCTTGTGTTAGTTTAGAAGGCTCAAATTTTTAAAACGCGAGAGCTCATTTCGATAGAAACAACAATATCAAAACCGAAATTTCCTATGCTGAAAGACACTAACATTTCTCTCGATTTTTACAAAACTATGCACACCGTTAGAGGAAAGTATCTTCTACCGATGGTGAAAAAATCAAGATACTATTCGCTTCAGTTTGGAAGATGTGAATCTTTAAAGAAAAAATGATAGTTTGTTAGAAACAACCATATTAAAGACCGATATTCAATAGCCGATAAAAATCCAAATTCCACAAGATTTGTATAAAACTTTTGGCGTCGTTCTTATAATCGGGTGTTGTCTAACGATCATAAACTCAAGTCGCTACATGGCTTCGTTTGGAAGAAGAAAGTTTTAAAACGGAGAGCACATTTATATTACATTATGTAACCCGAAAAAACCATAATTGTTTTGCGATTCTTATCAAACTTTTGTCATCGTTATAGTAACCTGTCACCTAAAGAATATGAAAAAGTCAAGATGCTACATGAATTCGATTGGAAGATTCAAAGTTTTAAAACGCATGGCGCATTTCGGTAGAAGCATTCATTCTAAGGCCGATATTTGTTAAGCTGAACATTTTTTTAAATTTCGTGCTGTTTTTATGTACGTTGGAGGATCGTTAGACTCGCGTATCGTCTAAAGAGTGTGAAAAACTTAAATCGCTACTTGCATTATTGGGGAAAATGCGAAATTTTAAAAGAAAAAGCGCAGTTTTTCATAAACAACCATTTGGAGGCCGATTTTTAATAAGCTGGCAAAACTCATTCTTCTATGCGATTTTTATGAAACTTGCATCATTGCTATAGTCAAGTGTGTTATAAAGATCTGGAAACAGGAGAGGCGTTTTTTGCATAAGTTTGGGAGATACCAAAGCCAATACCAAGTTTTAAAGAGAGAGCGTATTTCAGGAGAAATATTCGTTTTTAGTCTGATATTGATTAGGCGCCCAAAAATCTGAATTGTGGAATTTTTTATGAAACTGCGAGCAGCGTGCAGTAATTGAGTGTGTCTTCTAAAAATTCTGAAGAAGTCAACTCGCTTGTTGTGTTAGTTTGGAAGGCGCAAAATTTTAAAACCCGAGAGTGCATTTCGATAGAAACAACAATATCTAAACCGAAATTTCCTATGCTGAAAGAAACTAACATTTGTCTCGATTTTTACAAAACTATGCACACCGTTAGAGGACAGTATCTTCTACCGATGGTCAAAAAATCAAGATTCTATTCGCTTCAGTTTGGAAGATTTGAATTTTTAAAGAAAAAATGATGGTTTGTTAGAAACAACCATATTGAAACCGATATTCAATAAGCTGATCAAAATACAAATTCCGCAAGATTTGTATAAAACTTTAAGCATCGTTATAGTAAAGTGTTGTCTAACGATCATAAACTCAAGTCGCTACATGGATTCGTTTGCAAGAAGAAGAAAGTTTTAAAACTGAGAGCGCATTTTGGAAGAAGCATCCAGTTCAAACCCCATTTTTACTAACCTGAAAAAATCTATTTTTTTATTTAATGGACGTTTCATCACCGTTAGAGTCAAGCATCCTCTAAAATGGTGAAAATAGAAGTTGCTATTGGCATTAGCTTGAAAGATGCGAATTTTTAAAAGAGAAAGCGTAGTTTGGTAGAAATAACAATTTTGAGTCTGATATTCAATAAGACAAAAAATATATATAAAGTCGGTGCAATTTTTATAAAACTTTCTGCATAGTTATACTGAAGTGATTTCCAAAGATCGTGAGGAAGTTAAGTCGCTAATTGCATTACTTTGGAAGATGAGAAGTTTTAAAGAGAGGCGCCTGCAGGGATAAGCATCCATTTCAAGACCGATATTTACTACGCTGAAAAAAATAAAATTTTGTGCGATTTTCATGCACGCTTCAACACTCTTAGCTTGAAATCGCTCCTAAAGATTGCAAGAATTTCCAGTTGCTACTTACATGAGTTTGGAAGATGCAAATATTTAAAAAAGTAACCGTATTTTGGCAAGAAACAACCATTGTGAGACCGATATTCCGTAAGCGAAAAAACCATAATTTTTTTGCGTTTTTGTGCAAACTTTTGTCATTGTTATAGTGAACTGTCGCCTAAAGAATATGAAAAAGTGAAGATGCTACATGGATTCGATTGGAAGATTCAACGTTTTAAAACGCATGGCGCATTTCGGTAGAAGCATACATTTTAAGACCGATATTTGCTAAGCTGAATTTTTAAAAAAATGTGCTATTTTTATGAACGTTGGAGGAATATTAGACTCACGTATCGCCTTAAGAGGGTGAAAAAATTAAATCGCTACTTGCATTATTGTGGAAAATGCGAAATTAAAAAAAGCACAGTTTTACAGAAACAACCATTTTGAGACCGATATTAATAAGCTAGCAAAACTCAATCTTCTGTGTGATTTGTATGAAACTTGCATCATTGCTATAGTCAAGTGTCTTCTAAAGATCTCAAAACAGTAGAGTCGCTTTTTGTATAAATTTGGAAGATGCCAAGTTTTAAAGAGATAGCGTATTTCAGTAGAAATATTCGTTTTTAGACTGATATTGATTCGGCGCCCAAAAATGAAAATTGTATATTTTTTTATGAAACTGTGAGCAGAGTTCAGTAATTAAGTGTCTTCTAAAACTTTTGAAGAAGTCAAGTCGCTACTTGCATTAGTTTGGAAGACGACAAAGTTTAAAGCGCGAGAGCGCACTTCGATAGAAACCTCTGTCTCAAGACCGATATTTACTATTCTGAAAAAAAAAAAAATTTTGCTAGATTTTTAACGAACTCTGCACACCGTTAGGGGAAAGTATCTTCTAGAGATGGTGAAAAAATCAAGATGCTATTGGCTTCAGTTTGGAAGACGTGAATTTTTAAAAGAAAAAATGGTAGTTTGTGTGACCGATATTCAATAAGCTGATAAAAATCCAAATTCCGCAAGATTTTTATAAAACTGTTCGCATTGTTATAATCAGGTGTTTTCGAACGATTATAAAAAATCCAAGTCGCTGCATGAATTCGTTTAGAGGAAGAAAGTCCTAATCGCATCTGGGTAGAAGCATCCACTTCAAGACCCATATTTACTAACCTGAAAAAATCTAATTGTTTTGAAATTTTAATGGACATTTCAACACCGTTATGCTGAAGTATCCTCTAAAGATGGTAAAAATTTGAAGTTCCTACTTGCATTCCTTTGAAAAATGTGAATTTTTAAAGAGAGGCGCCTGCATGCATAAACATCCATTTCAAGACCGATATTTACCACGCGGAAAAAAAAATTAAATTTTGTGCGATTTTCGTGCACGCTTGAACACTCTTAGCTTGAAATCGCTTCTAAAGATGGTCAGAATTTCCAGTTGCTACTTGCATGAGCTTAGAACATGCAAATATTTAAAAAAGAAAGCGTATTTTGGTAGAAACAACCATTATGAGACCGATATTCCGTAAGCTAGAAAAACGCAAATTTTTTTGCAAGTCTTATCAAAGTTTTGTCATCGTTATAGGAAACTGTCCTCTAAAGAACATGAAAAAGTGAAGATGCTACATGGATTCGATAGGATCCCACGTTTTAAAACGGATGGCGCATTTCGTTGGAATCATTCATTTTAAGGCCGATATTTGCTAAGCTGCACATTTTTTAAAATTCTGTGCTATTTTATGCTTTTATGAGCGTTTGAGGACCGTTAGACTCAAGTATCATCTAAAGATGGTGAAAAACTGAAATCCCTATTTGCATTATTGCGGAAGACACGAATTTTTAAAACGAAAAGCGCAGTTTTACAGAAACAACCATTTTGAGGCTGATTTTTAATAAACTGGCAAAACTCAATCTTCTGTGAGATTTTTACGAAACTTTCAGCATATTTGCACTCAAATCGCTAATCGAAAAATTCTTTCTTTGTCTAATGTCTTTGGTTGGGAAGATGCAAAGTTTTAAAACAGACAGATTTCGGTAGAAACATCAATTGTTAGACCGACATTTACCAAGCTGGCAATTAAATTTTTGCATTTTTATCAAACGTTCAGTACCATTCTCTTAAAGCAAATTCTCAAGATAATTAAAAAAATCAAGTCGTTGCCTTCATTAGTTGGGAAGATGTGATTTTTTAGAGAAGAAAGCACCTTTTGCTTAAAACATTCATTTTGAGACCGAGTTTACCAAGCTAACAAAAACAAAAATTCGTTGCTCTTTTTATGAAACTTTCGTCATCATTAGAGTAAAATGTCTTCTAAAAATCGCAAAAAATTCAAGTAGCTACTTGCTTTGCTTTGAACGATGCGAATTTTTAAAGATGAAAGCGCAGTTTACTTAACTTATCCCACTGTTCAACTTAAAAAATCTTCCATATGAAAGCCAATTTTTCATCAACCGCTAATTCACAAATAATTATTTCAGACTTTAAAAGACCTGCAGAAGAACCTGACTTTCAACTACGCAGTTAAATACTATCCTGAAGATGTATCCAGCGAACTAATCGAAACCATTACCATCGAGTACTTCTTCCTGCAAGTGAAGGGGTTGATTCTAAAGGATGAAATCTTCTGTCCTGCAGACACTGCGGTCCTCTTGGCTTCATATGCCCTGCAGGCCAAACATGGGGACTACCAAAAGGACCAAATCAATGAAGACGTGTTCAAAAAATCGAAACTGTTACCTGAAAGGTTCGTAAATGTACCAACATGCCATGAAAACTGAAACTTACTGGGGACAATTTTCAGAGTTATCAAGCAGCACAACCTCCAAACCTCCGATTGGGAGGTGAATATCGTGAGCTTATGGTTGAAGCACAGAGGCATGGACAAAGAGGACGCCATGCTGGAATACCTGAAATTGGTGCAAGATCTGGAAATGTATGGAGTTTGCTATTTTAATATCAAGAACGTGAAGGGCACGGAACTTCTTCTGGGAGTAACGGCTCTAGGGCTCAATATTTATAAAGTAGATGACAGGTAGGCGCCAATCATCTCAATTTTGCAACAAAGTACTCTTAAAAATTCAATATTTCAGACTGAACCCGACAATTTCCTTTCCATGGTCCGAAATAAAAAATCTGAAGTACAAGGGCACCAAGTTCGTGATTAGGCCAAACGACAAAAACTCAAAGAACTTCGTCGTCATCACCACTAATGAAAAGGTCAGCAAGCAAATCCTCAATCTGGGCATCGGCAACCATGAACTCTACGTGAGGAGAAGGAAACCCGACAGTCCGGAGGTGGCAAAAATGAAGGAGAAAGCCAACGAAGTTCGCAAAACGAAGCTGGTGATCAGACAAAAATACAACTCGGAACGTGTAGCTAGGGAGGAAGCGGAAAAGCGCGAAACCATGTACAAGCAGCAGCTGGAGGACATGAAAATTGAAATGGAGAGAAAACAGACCAGTTTATTGGAGGCAGAGCGCACTATCAGGTTTGTGGCAGTTTTTCTGACATCAACTCTCTAAACCATGAAACTAACCAACCAGGAAACTCCAAGAGCAGCTCGAGGATCTTCAAAGAAGCAAGGCAGAGCTGGAAGCGCAACGCACTGAGCTGCAAGAGATGATGGACCGACTGGAGCAGCACAAGCACATGGAGGCTGAAGAAAAAGCTCGGCTAGAAGAAGAAATCCGGGCTAAACATGCAGAAGTTCAACGAATCCAAGATGAAGTAGATGAACTAGTCTTTTAATTCTTTAACCGTGTCTAACCGTTGATTTGGTCTTCAGGTGGCCAGAAAGGACGAGGAAACCAGACGGCTGCAAGAAGCGGTGGATGAAGCTCGCCGAAAGGAAGAAGAGGCCCAGCTTCGTCAAGAAGAAGAGGAAAGAAGACGCGAGGAGGAGCGCCGCCAGAAGGAAATAGAGGAAGCCAACCGAACCGAGAAGGAGCTGGAGTCTCTTTCCGATGCCGACAACACTTTGCCTGACGTCAAGGAAGTAAACGAACAACTAAAAGATCAACTAAAGGTAAGTCTCAATTGCGAACGATTAACAACATTGCATAATGGAAATTTTCGTTTTCCATCAGACGTTGCAAGATCAACTGAACGAGGCTAAAACCAATGAGGAGAGCGAACTGGAGCGCATCCATAGAATCAATTTACTGGAAGGCCGCAATAAGTACAAGACTCTACGGGACATTCGCAAAGGCAACACCAGCAGAAGAGTGGAGATGTTTGAGAATATGTAAAGTCAAAAAATCATGAAGAAATTAAAAAACTGTTTAAAAAAATGACCGTTCAAATTTGGCTACTTCAGAACATGCGAAGAGTGTATAGGCATTTTTACATTCTTTTGTAAGACTTTTATATCATGTTGGAATATTGTTAATAATTTATTAATGTTATTATTTAAATATACGAAGTTAATAACTCAGTTTCGGTTTCATTTTCTAACAAATATCGGCGGAAATGGACGTTTTTTTTAAGTTGCAATCATTTGATTTGCACCTTCTGCTTGAAGCTGAGATAAGACCCATATACAGGGTTGCTCATTAGTGCGTCAAAGTGCGATATCTCAGTAAATATGAACTTTACAAGAAAATACGTCCTACGAAAGTTTTTCATGTT